ATCCAAATTAAATAAAAATACAGTTTTAGTCAAAATAATGCTAAGAATTACTATCCTGTATAATAAAAGGGTAATATGCAGATAAACTCAATGGCAGAACAACCCACCAATCAATCAAAGTGTAATATGCTAATGATATGCTAAGGCTGCTCAACTGTTTGCTATGAATTGCACTGACCACCAGGGGGCAGATGTTCCAACCAGTAGGTTAGCTTGCTGCTGGGGTATGGCTGATTGGGACTGAGCAAGATGAGTCAGGCCTTCCTGGAGCCCTCCCACAGTCCTCCCCTGGCCTTGTCGTGCACTGGTGGGGACCTTCAGCCTGGCCTGCACCTTCTCACAATCTGGGACCCCTTCTCACAAGCCAGAGAGCCAGCTTCAGCCAGATCCCCCAGGGTACTCCCCTTGGGAGGGTGCCAGACACAGGGCTCATGGTTGGTGAGAGCTGATGCAGCAGTGTGAGTCTCTCTGGATCAGGACTGATTGGGTATGAGCCTACAGCAGGCACAATGGGACCAGAATGAGTGGGAGCAGCAGGTAAAAGCTGCAAGTGGCATTGGATTGTGGGTTTCAGCTGAATCCCTACAGGCTACCCAGAAGGACCCCACCCATGCAGGAACTCATGCACCAGGCCTCTAGTATTAAAATAATAAACTCTTATAAAGTAAAAATCATAAATACAAAAACAATGGTAACTGTGAAAAATTATTGGTAACTTATATTACTGGCAAATAATTATTGTACTACTAGGACCTCTCCCTAAGCCATCATCATACATCCTTAGCACTATCTCTCCCACCACCACTCCTGCGCTCCCCGGCCTGGAGCCTGGCTTCTGGCCGAGTGGAGGCTTCCCTTGTGGAAGTGCACCAACCAATGTGGCTCCTGCATTGAGCGTCTTCCCCTTGGTGGTCAGTGCATGTCATAGTGACTGGTTGTCCCACCGTTTGGTCAATTTGCATATTAGCCTTTTATTATTCTAGGATTATATTTAACAGTACTAATTGGTAATTTAAGAGACTAACTAAAAAAATATAAAATGAAGGGCCATGAAGTGGCAGTAAAAAAAGAAATATTCATAGCCCCCAAAATATGAAAAGCTGAGCAGTTTCACCCATAATAAGAGAAAGGGAAATCAACATTACAGAGAGATGTAATTTTTCATTGATTGTATTTACGAAATTCCAACGTTTATAGTCCCATCTGTGGGTAATACTTAGAAAAACAATCACTCTTATTAGTATAGTATACATCACCGTGAGAAGTGCAAACATGACAACATCTACAGAAAGGGATCAAGTAATTCCTACCAAAATTCAAGATGCATTGATCTTTGAATCATAATCTCAACTTCTAGAAATCACTCTGTAGATACACTTATGTGTTTGCTAAATGATATGTGTACCAGGACAAATGATATGTATACCAGGACAATCACTCTGTAGATACACTTATGTGTATGCTAAATGATATGTGTACCGTGTAATGCAACAAAACAACAAAAATAAAAAAAACATTACACCAGAGTTAATGAACATTATTAGAATTACTATGGGGAAGTAGTATGACAGCAAAACTGATCAAGTGAAGACCTCCAAAAAAGTCTCTCTCCCATAAAAACAATGGTTAGTGAGAGATATTTTTATTTCAATAATTATCAATAAGTATCACAACCCAATATGATTACAAATGGTTACAGTTTATATGGACTACTTCCCAGTTTTACCACATTTGATCATTATAATGGGAACTAATTACCACATTTGATCATTATAATGGGAACTGAGATTGATACTGGGTGAACAAAGATGAAATTGTCCCCAAAACTGCTTTGAAAGTATTCACAGTAGAGTAGGTAAGATAGACATTTTAACTGGAAGCTCACAAACATGTCCTATAAATTGTCATTAGTCAATATTGTAGACTTTTCAGGCCTTAATCTTTCTTGCTACTACTCGGTTCTACCACTGAGTTTAAAAAGAGCTACATGCAAAACATAAATGCATGAGTGTAGCTGTATGCTAATAAAATATTACTTATGCAAACTGATAGTGGATTTCATATTAACTTTGAGTCTCACAAAATATTATCTTAAAAACTGTTTTCACCAATCCAAAAATAAAACAAAACTTCTTTTGTAAGCAGGTAAAACCAAAACATGCAACTGGCTGAATTACTAAGCATGTAGGCTATAGTTTAAATTACCTATAATCTAAACAATTAAACCAGACTCTCTAATATACATGAATCAGTAATTGAAATGTCACACAGTATTTCTCAGTTTTACATGTAAGGGAACAGAAATGCAGGACAATAAATAGACTTGCCAGTTTTAATACAGATAATAAGCAAAGAAGCTATAAGTCAAACCCAGCTCTCTGCTACCTAATCATTATTATCTCTTGAAGGCAATGAGTCTGCTCAACAGTAGGTGTGATGTATGGCAGCCCTTTTAGGTTATGTGTGGCATCTTAAATGAAATTATATTCTTGTTTTAATGGGATTTACTCCACACTATTCAACTTTAAAAAAACTAAAAAGTAGACTACATGGTCTATGGTGTTTTTAAATGATTTTTAAAAGAGAGAACCTAGCCTGGCTGGTGTTGCTTAGGGGTTGAGCATCAACCTCTGAATCAGGAGGTCACAGTTTGATTCATGGTCAGGACTTATGTCCAGGTTCTGGGCTCAGTCCTCAGTGCAGCACATGCAAGAGGTGAGTGATCAATGATTCTTTCTCATCATTGGTTTTTCTATCTTTCTCTCTTCCTCTCCTTTCCTCTCTAAAATCAATAAAAATAGATTAAAGAAAGAGAGAACTCTTTTATTTCACAACTATAATGATATTACCATATAATTAGTTCCATGAGTGAAGGGTTTACTCTCTAACAAATGTGCTATTATATCTTCAGTATACTAAATATTCAGTTATTTAAAAATATATTTTACCATTACATTCTGGAATAAAATTATGGATCATCAAATATACATACATATAAAATTTATATAATTTGTATATATATAATCCATATGTGTGTGTGTATATATATATATATATATGTGTGTGTGTGTGTGTGTGTGTGTGTGTGTGTGTGTGTGTGTATGTATTTTAGTTATACTATTTACCATTGGAAATGGCCTTATGATCATGGCCTTAGCTACATATAAATGTTTGAGTAGTGAATAATATATACTGACCCATGTCAACAAAATTAATTACCTCATTATAAATCTAATCATTGACTAAAAAATTATCATAAAAAATAAGTTGCTATGTATCAAAATACATAGGTTTGAGTTTTTATCAAAAGTCCAGTAAGTGTTATCTATAATAATAAAAGGGTAATATGCTAGTTTGGCCAGACTTCTTCAGGACGTCATTCCAGACATCCTTTCTGACAAAGCCTGGGCTGGAGGGAAGCCAGCCTGGCCCTGGGTGCCTGCAGGCGGCCCAAGGGAAGCCAGCCAGGGTGCTGAGTGCCAGGTGCCTATGGACAGCTGGAGGAAGGAAGCAGCCTGAGTCCCTGGGTGCTGGAGGGAAGCTGGTGCCAGCAGCCAGGTGCCAGCAGCCAGGGTAAAGGACTATTCTTGCATGAATTTTGTGTATCAGGCCTCTAGTTTGCTTCATACTGTGAAATATAATGACACATAAAAAATTACAATTTTCCTGATGGAAAAAAAAAAAATTTCTGTTCTTTTTTCCCTCTCCTTTTTAAGGATTATAGTAAAGGGGCTATAAAGTTCATAACAAAAATGTTTTTCTAATCATTCAATATGTTATGCATTTATTTCATACATGCGTTCCCATTTGCTTCCAGGGGTACATTGTAGGAAAAACAATATGTAGGATGACAATAGTATTTTTGGTCTTGTTTTAATATGCATATGAGGATGATGGAATTGTTTGAGATATTTTTATGTGTGTTCCATATTCTGACTCCACAGCTCCTGCCTTATATGGAAAACACAGCTGCAATCCAGCCCCATTCAGATGAGGGGTGGAACAGATGGCTTGTGATCTTGTACTGCCTACACATTAAGGCAGCACCATGGCTTGGATTAAGTACTTTTTTTTTTTTTTTGGTACTGACAATGCTAAAGTGAAAATAAATAGCCAAGCAGGGAGATGAAGCCTACAGTCATGGAGATTTTATCGCCGTGCTAGCTGATTCTCTCACAGGTACAGAGCTAACCTACGTGTGGCTGCTTTCTGGATCGATGAGTAATTCATCAGAAGACCTTGCCACTTCCCACTCGGTTCTTCTCCCTAGAGCCCAGATGACACATGCTTAAACGGTCCCATTTACTGAGCACACAATTTCCGATAGCGGTTGGTAAGCCATTAAATTGTTTTGTCTGGTATTGAGAGAAAGGAAAGTTGGCCTGAATTTACTGGTCATTTTAATCTCATTATTTTGGAATTTTACAAAAACTGTACATCTAGTGTATATTCAATATATTAAAAATATATAAAAACATTTTATGGAATATAATATGAGGGGTTAGAAAAATATCTGTGTGCTTATAAAGGCTGACAATTCAGGTACAATCTCTTTAACAGAACTATATTTATTAACATTGTAATGATAGAGTATCTTCTTTTTAGCCTCCCAAGTATTTGTAATAAATTTTAAAAATGTAAATGTTATTGTACCAATTAATTAATTGTGAATATATATGCATGGTGATAAAGTCATTTATTTAATTATACATTAAATTAAGTGTTTTCACTTTATATACTAGTATGAGAACAGAAAGAATAATATATTGGTAAAGAACATTCAGTCTAGAATTTGTGGACCGATTTTAGAGAGATGTGATTTGATTGGTAAAGTTCATTTTTTGGAACCTTTATTTTAAACTGTGTAGTTTAACTATTACTCTTCTAGGACATAATTTACTTACCACTCCATATCTCTTCAAATTCAACTCCCACTCAACCCTAATATCAGCTCAAAATTTCCCCAAAGAGGAAAAGCAATCCAAACATCAAAAGCTTACCTTTCCAACATATTGTGGATCGGGTCCCATATGTTCTTCTAAAACAAAGAACTGATTCCAAACCCATCCCCTTTTGGGACGATGGTGGACTTCGGTCTCTCCTTCGATGTGCTTGGTCTGATTTCTGGTCACCTTGATGGAGCTGTGGTGAGCAGTTCCATAACACCTCTGCACAAAACAGAGACACACGAGGACTGGACAGATGCAAGATGTGCTCGTAATTTTCATTGTAAGATAACTTTCCAGTTCACAGTTTTCCTTCCTTTCCTTGTCAGCTGCAAATGCCTAATAAGCATTCAAGAGAGAAGCCAAAGCATCCTTCGGAAGGACAGTCCAAAGTAAAGTGTTTAGCGTGTCCATGATTTAACTGTCCACCAGGGAAAGGTCAGATTGCATTTACATCCTGAAACACTTCAGAGATTCAAATCTGCAGTGGTCTGATTCTTAGTCTTCACAGTAGGTGAACACAGGCAACCATTTTCCACCTAATGGAAAGAGAGAAAATGATATACAGAACAAAACTTGGTAGGTTTAAGTATTTGCTCTGAATGCAAAACATACTATTAATGCATTATGGGAAGCTGATAGGGAAAGAACATGTGCAAATTATTATATAGACATTCATAAGCCTGCACACTGCACATATTTTTACAGGGACCTCCATACTCATACTGCTAATCTTTATAGACCTTTAGACTAAATGTATATTGAGGATATTTATATGTTTCTAGAAACAAAAAAATGCAGCCTTAGGGAGTGTTTAAATGTTCAAAAACCGATGATGAGTGTGTGCCTGAGTGTGGTATGATTGTTTACAATACATGATCTATTAGAGACTCCATGCTAAGTGCAAATGTTTTGTTTATTTTTGTATTTATTCAGTTTTGTTGGATGTGATAAAAATGTACTGGACATTAATTGCCTACTAAATGTGACTCACTGAACTTCAACAAAGTACTCCATAGAGTTGAATAATTGTCACTGACCATCACAACAATCCAGCAGGCACTTAAGCTGTTTAGTAAGTAAAAGAAAACAAAAAAGAAGAAATGAAACTGAAAGCTTACCCATTCTCAAAGAGCAGATTGGCACAATGGATTGTGAGTAAGCATATCAACTGGCTCAGACATAGCTTGAATTGATTTTGATGAGCCTGCAGATACTACTCTATAGTGCAGTCTTAACATATAGGGGAGGCATACATTAAAGTATGGGAATGACACTACACATAATTCCATCAGCCTTGAAAGGAAAGTTGTAAGGAGAAAAAAAAGGGTGGTAGAAAGAACATAAAGGAAAAAGGTTTTGTCTTTCAAATGAAATGCTGCAGACTTGGACTTAGGTTTTAATATAATTGGACAATAAAGTAAAACTTGAGAAAGATTTCTGGAAGATAAAACAAAATTATTTGGTAGAGAAAATGTTGACTGATATTAGTTTATTGAAAAATAAAACTGTGTAGCAAGTTCTACAGCCTTTGTGTGTGTGTGTGTGTGTGTGTGTGTGTGTGTGTATTTCAGTATGTATTTAGAAAATTATACTGATTCAAGATTATAGCTATTCCATCCTGCAAAAATATTAGATGAATCACTTTCTCAGTCAATTAAATTCACCCCTGTAAATCAGCACAAACTGAAATGAATCACAAAATGTTTGACATGACAGTATAAATGATTTCAAAAATTGAGCATAAATAATCAGTCATCATACAACTCTTTTATACAATTGGTAAAAATGTTTATAATAAGTAGGGAATGAATTTTTAAAAATCACATGAGCCTGACTGGCATGGCTCAATGGTAGAGCATCAACCAATGAACCAGGAGGTCACAGTTCGATTGCTGGTCAGTACACATGCTCAAATTTTGGGCTCAGTCCCCAAAGGGGGTTGTAGAGGAGGCAGAAGATTGATCATTCTCCCTTATCATTGATGTTTCTACTTCTCTCTCCTTCTTCCTTCTTCTCTGAAATTAATAAAACTATGCCTTTTTCTTCTTTTTTAAAATCACATTGAGGCCCAAAGCAAGGCGCTTTCCAACCAATGTATTTGTCCACAAATTAAGGTTAACAGTAATTTTAACTTCACAGTTTTTTAAGTATTGTATTAGAAAAGAATTGGGAATTCATTTTAATAATCTGGCAAATAAAATTAAATTTTGTGATACTTTTGAAATAAAGATCATTTTTTTCACTCAATGAGAAAAATAAGGGGAAATATGTAACACTTTCAACAATGAAGATATTAAAAAATACAAAATAAAAAGACTTGAAAAGAGAAATGTAATTCTAGTTCCAATATAGTAAGAATATAGAAAAGTCAGAAAATGTAGGTTTTCTTTCTTTTTTTTTGACAATTTACTTATTATATGTACTTATGTGAATCATATAATTTCTTTGAGTCTCAATATCTCATTTACTAAAATTTGTCGTGTAATTGTAATGTTCTTTCCAGTTTATCTAATAAATTGGATGATTTTATATTAAAGTTTTCTTTCTTCTTTTAAATAACAAATTTCAAAATAATAAACTTTAGCCTTTCTTCTTCAAAGTAAAGTTGATGAATATACAGAATATATTATCTTAATACTTTCACACCACTTGATGTGATTGTTAAATGAAATTAACATATTTTCTTTTTATGCCAAGTTGTTTTACAAAGCATAATTCATGAGTAAAAGGTGAAAAAAGTGGCTTTTGTAATGCATTATTGATATATTGAATGAGATTTTTTAAAATGATCTTATGTTCCATTCTAAAAGCCCATAAATGCATTTTAATCTATATATACATTACATGATTGTGAATATCTATTACAACAGTTATAAAAAGTAGTAAATAAGGATCTGTGAAATGAAAGAACAAATATAAACATCACTATAGTATTTTTTATACTAATTTTATTTACTATATTATGAGAAGACAGAACCTACATATGAAAATGTTCTGCTCTACTTCCAGAAATCAACCCTTCCATAGGTGAGAAAGAATAAAAATAAAAATAATAAAAATAATGAATGAGAATACCTCAATAGATGACAGAGCCCTAACTTTCACCTCAGAACATCTAGGAACCAGACACATTCTTCTTCTAATTTAATTTTTCAATAAGTTTTAATTGATTTCAGAGAGGAGGAGAGAGGGAGAGAGAGAGAGAGAGAAATGTCAAGGATGAGAGATAATCATTGATTGGTGCTTCCTGCATGCCCCACACTGGGGATTGAGCCCACAACCAGGGCATGTGCCCTGACCGAGAATCCAACTGTGACATTCACAGGTCAACACTCATTCACTGAGCCAGGCCAATCGGGCTCATCTTCTAACATTTTAATCATAAATTGCATTTGTGACATACAAGTTATTCACACACTCCGACAACATGGAGCAAATGATGGATGGATGTATGTAGCGAAAACTGAGAAATGTTCCACAGCAATGTGAGGGTCTCAACAGCCAGATGTAGTGGTGGTCAGTCTGGCAGCTGTGATAGACAGTCAGTGACAGCTGCACAAAGTAAGAGTCATTCTAGCTACACAGTTTCAGTGGTAGGTACTTAATATTGTTTCTTACTGTCTCACTTCTATTGGTATTTACTCTTTGATAAACCGAATTCTTAAGGCTCCTCATCAATTTTGATGGTTATCTAATATGCTTCCAATAAATGCATTTGCTGCTGTCCATGGCCAAGTTGAATTTTTTCTGTTTGAAAACAAGAACCTTTTCTATAAAAAGCATTATTTTCATAAAACAAAAAAAGTATTTCCAAATAATACATTATTCGTAACAATGTGAAAGCGGGCCCCTGTCCTCTGCTCAGTACTTAATCTAAGTGATACAACTTTGTTGCAATAGACTAGTCCTCTTGTTTCTATGACTGTTCTCTCTTTGGTAGTAGAATTAGTAACGCTGTACTTAGTCAAGAACATGACCTCAGAGGTTCATTTTATAGAAATCTATCCCATTTATATGAGCATTTTATTCTCTGAGCTTTGTAGTTCTCATTTATGAAGAAAGATTTGTACTTGAATTAACTTTAAGCATGCTCAGCTATCTAATTCTTTGACTTTCTGATTTAATAACCATGCTTCATTTACAAATGACTTTTCTTACTTACAGAGTTACTCACATCACCCAAGGTTAAATATCAGCCACTTATAACTCTTCAATACAGTCATTCTATCAGAGAGCACTGGAGAAACACTATTCTCAACAAAAGGATTCTCCCATTTACCCCCAAACTGCTTATAACATGGGTCTTTTGACTAACTTTCTTTACCAATATGTTCTTGGATTATAAACTTAAGATTCCAAAGAGGTGTAGAGAATGTCTTAGGTTTTCTCTCTCTTGTTTTATAAGAAACTTTTTTTTTTTGCTTCTTTTCTTGTTTTGAAAATGTCTTTATTAAAAATACTTTTGTCAATTTTATTTCAGGAATCCGCCATTCCATTCTCCATATGTGTGGGATGATATATTATTTTACATATTCAACAAGCCTAGAGTTATAATTGCCACCAATTTCCCAGCTATGGCATTATACATTATTGGTGGGAATTTATCTGACTTTGCATAGAGCAAGTTTAGTTTAAATAGAAAATGTCAAAGGAAGATAGAGTATGATGGAAAGTCCATGTATTTTGGAAGTGCTTTCACTGTGAGATGTATAGGATATTCTATATGGAGAAGCACATGTCAATGGGAACATGTTACTTAATGCACATCTGTCAGACCTGCATATCCATCAGTGAGAAGGCCGTTCCTCATGAGAAGATGACTCATCTTGAAAAGAATGAAATTTAACTTTCCCATGATGAATTATTAAAATCCATCACACTGTCAGGTAGATTTAAGTTAGGAAACTTAAATTAGATCTGAATTCTAATGTCATATAAAACAAAAGTTATAAATTCTTAAGAGAAGCCAATGTTTTAAAGGAATAATTATTTATTATATGTACGTATGTATGTATGTATATATGTATGTATGTATGTAGTTACTTACTTATGTTCAGGATGTGTGTTCTAAAACTTTCAAGTTATTTTTTTGGATTAGTGATTACAAACCCAACACTAACTGCTTGCAAGATGCATTCTCAGATATTTGTCTGACTCTGAATCTATGGTTTCCATCATTTTCAGGTCCAATGATCAATAATATCCATATCATTCTCTTATTCTAAGTCTAGCCCTTGTTTAATTTCCATTGATATTGACTTATGAATTTTTGTTTTACC